TATATATATATATGAGGGGCTTCAGGCCTTTTGTTCATAGGGTCACTATGAGTCATGCTTGACTCAAAGACAATCAACAATAGAGATAGATATAAATAGATAGATGATAGATATCGATATATTGATGTATAGATATAGTTATCATGTACTGTCGAACAAAAATCAATTCATAGATGATGCTTCAGTGGGTTTCAGAGAATTGTAAACTGCATGGGAGAAGATTACTCATTTTCTCCTGTGGAACAGATAGTGGATTTAAGTCATGTGACTTTGGGTTTTTAGCACAGCCTTTACTACTAGGCAAAGAGCCTTCCCTACATTTATATAGACCTACTGATACATGTTTATGTGTAGCTGTGTTTAAAAAGATGGTTCTTATTTTCTACATGCATATTGAAAAGTTCTAATTAGAATCTTGGGAAATAGTATTTCTAAAAAAGATATTGTGTTCTTAAGTGAATATCTTGAAATGAGAGTTTATTACTCCCTGAGGTAAAAGATAATTTGGTTCAGCATTTGTGTGAGCTTCAGCCTAAAGATTAACATATACGAAAGTACAACAGAAGTATTGTCCAGAGCACAATTTGATTCAGACATAATTAATATTCAATCATACTTAATTGTTCACAGTAAATTACCATGCCTAGAAACAAATATTTAGATCAGCGTAAAATTTCTCAAGTAAACAGTAAGTACAAAGCAGAATTTTAAAGGGGTGGAAGACAAAATAATTAATGCCTTTTTTATAATAATTTTAACTTCATTTATAATAGAAGAAAATGTTAAATAATCACAGATTGAGCTAAATCCCATAATCTTCATAGTCCTGGTGACATGCACACTGTTTCCCCAGGACAGGTATAACTGAAATTTGTTTACTAGAGCTATTACTATTCCCTTATTTTCTAAATGTGACCTGGTTTGAATGACTAATTATAAGGTCACTGAATTTGGAGTGAATTTCTTGTGTTATATTCCTTTCATTTGGTAAATATATCTCCTTCCCCACCATCAAACACTATCATGTTCATATTTATTAACTCATGAATCTCAGCTTTGCAACTTAGAGACTCAAGTTATCTTAAGGTAACACAAAAAATTAAGAGAGAATTAAAAGGCACTTACCTTTTCCTTACTTCTGGCTCTAGGCTGTTCAGTCAATATATTTTTTTAATTGATACTTTGTTATTGTCAAGCAGAAACATAACTTTATTTTTATATATATAGACATAATAAATTCTTGTTTCTGTTATATTTATATAGAGTTTGTGCAGATACAAGTCTAGTTTTGTATATCATATATTACTAACTCCAAGATATACACAGAAACTGGTAGGTAACTTCTCTATCTGGAAGAGAATCTCACTACGTGTATATTTTTGCTGTCACAGTCTTTGTACATACTAAAACTACTACTCAAGAAGAATTTACACTTAATAGTGTTTGTGTAAGGAACTTTAAAAAGAAAACAAAACAGCAAAAACCAATTTTTTTCTTACCCTTGCACATGGCACCCATTTACCTCTGTGGAATAAGCTAGACAGTTCTATTGACCTGGCAGTTCTGCCTCAGTGTCTCTGAATTTTTGTCTTGCCTGCTTTTCTGATTCAAATTTAATATCAATTAAGCTGTTGTACTCATACTAAATTTGGTCTGAATATAACATGACTAATTCACTGTTTTGCATGTATAAAACATCTTGAGACATATATTTATATCTTAAGTTTTCTATTTGTTTTATATTGTTATGTTCCATGTATTTTCTAGCTTTATTGAGCTTTTATTTATATTTTTTCTCATTAATAGAAAAACTTACCAAATATTTTTAATTTATTTTTAAACTAAAATTGATATTGGCCATTATAGTAGTTAATGTTTTCAAATTATGGGGTTAAAATTTTAGGAACCTATAAATTCTTTCACTGTAACCTCCAACTCCACCCCACTCCTCCACCTTCCACTCCTGTTTTGTCCTTTTTAGATGACTTGTAGAATTTGGATATAAAACTGAGAAACCTTTTCAGCAATTTAACTTAAAAATTAAAGACTAACGGGCTCTCTGGTGGCCTAGTGGCAAGAAGTTCCACTGCAATCCCAGAGGTGCACGGTTCCAATCCAATAGATGCTCTCCTGGAGAAGAAGGCAGAATCTCCTCCTGTACCAGTCAGATCTGATTTGATTACACACACACACACACACTAAAATAAAATTTTAAAAAGTTAAAGTCTAATTCTTCATCTGAAAAATATCTCAATTTTTTCAAAAGCAGAATTTCCTAGGATTATCTCCCTTAGGGACTTTATAGTTTTAGTATTATTGAAGATGTCTACTGATTTTCAATGTCTGATTAAAATATTACCATATGCTTAGTGGCATAAACTAAGTGTTAGCTAATAACTCCTGTTATCTACAGCTATCAAGGTTCTCTAATTAGCATCTCACATGCTTTAAATTAAAGCAGACCATACAGGACCTTATCTGTAGGCAAATCTAGGGAAAATTCACATAAAAGCTCACTGAATGTTAACAGAATTTGTTTTTAAGGAGTGTCTAACTGGAGTCCCTGGTTTTTTGTCAATTTCTATAGGAAACTTTTCTCTGTCACCTGAAGTCACTTTATCTTCCTTACCATGTTCTTTTCTTTTCTTTTCCACACCATAACTCTTTAAATCTTATGTCATCAAGAAAGACCAAGTTCATTTCCACAGTCACTTGATCAAGTCAGTCCCACTAGATGATATAATTTTTTAAATTACCTCAAGGTCAGCTAATTAAAACCCAAACAAAATTTTCTTGTACCCAAAAATACTTTCTTTTTAATTCTAATGAAGAACTTACTTGTTATCATTTACTAAGCATATATATGTAACAAATATAAAATCAGTTATGTTACTGATTTCATAAATTAAAAGCTGAAATTATTTTTCAAAAGATTTTTCCTTATTCACACCTTAGTGAGTTCCCTGTCCTAAGAGAGGGTCTCAAATATTTAAGGTGAAGAAGACAGGGACCTCAAATATTCAAAGTGAAGAGGACAGGAAACGCACCTTAAATTGCGATTAGGTGATCTTGCTCTTTTGAGGAGATTGAGCATCATAACTACCTTTAAGAAAGAGTAACATAAAATTAAAAAGCAATATTGAGGGAAGTATAAAAGTATTATATTTTAGGGCATTATTTTTATCATAGGAGTATGCAATGAGGGTTGTAGAGTGGATTACATTTGGGGTAGGGGGTGGGGTTTGGGGAGGGGGGGGGGGATTGTGTACCAATGAGGGAGTTTTTCTTTTGCTTTTCAAGGAGAAGAGCAAATGAGGGGGAGGGGGGAGGGATTTGTGCGGGGAGAAGGGTGCAACAATGAATGAATGGAATCCCAAAATCTCTGCAGATGTTCATTGAAATGAAAAATAAACAACCTAAATTTTAAAAAAAAGACAAATGGCAAAAATGAGAACATTATATTTTTCCCTTTTAACTTATGCCATTTGACATATAATTTGCTCATATACTATTTGTTTTGCTTATTATATTTGACTTATTTTTAAAAATAAAATATCTGTACATAACAAATACAAAGCCACAGAGAACTATATGGTCATTTTATAGCTATAGAAAGAACATTACCTAGATTCTGACAATGCATTTAAATTGCTAATTGAAGGCTACTCTCATATTTGACCAAGCTGAAAGTGTGAAATAGGCAAGTTGGTCTTTGATGACCTTTTATTTGTTATTAGGGTTATATCTGTATGGATAATTGAATCTATATTAATAGAAATGTTTTCTACCACCTATCTTTTCTAGGTATATTGTAGAAAATCAATATTGGTTATCACCAGGATTGAACTAAATTTGAATTTTCTACAGCCCACATAAAATAATTCTGGTGACAGCTCAATACCCCAAAAGACATCTGATTTCATATTTAATCATTTTCACCCATTTGTAATCAAGCCTCTTGTAGAATTCAGCTTCCATTGGCAAAGAGACAGAGGATTAACTCTGTCTCTTTGTACCTCATCAAACAATTTTTCCTGTCTCTGTGCTGCACAACATGGTG